CACACACACACACACACACACACACACACACACACACACACACACACACACACACACACACACACACACACACACAGCTGCACAGAGAGTCCAGCTTCACTTCTGTCTCTACACCTGAGGTTCTCTCCTCCCTCCGAACACTGCAGCTCTAGTTTTGCAGACTGGTTGCTGACAAACTTCTGGAGATGCGAGTGCTCCAGGGCTTTCCACACTTCTTCATCACCGTACTTGTCAAAGGGGTCCAGGTTCATTCGCAGGGTCCCAGAGAAAAGCACAGGCTCCTGTCGCAGAAACAAGGCTTTAGAGGGATCTCTGACTACTGTCACGTTTTGGCCTCATGTTGCTATTTCTCTATTCTACTAAAAGTTGTTGTTTGTGACATGTGAAAACATCTAACTACTTAACAAATGGTATATGCTTATTACATTTTTCATTTAAGCACGTCGCTTTTTTTACTGATGTATTTTGGGGTTGATGATGTTGATGGGTCACAGTTGAGACTAAACACAAAGCTAAAATATGTCACAATAAAGTTATAATTTTAGTTGCTATGTTCTGCACAATGTATGGCTTATAGACAGACCAGAAAGACACACCCTCTCTGCCCTCTAGTTTTTATAGTTGAAATAAATGTTTGTCAAATGAGGTCTAATGTTATAATTAGTCAGAGTTCTCTTTAAGGTAAACAACAGAAGGACTAAACACATTTAATAAATTAGCTGCATATGGGTTGTTCCAAAGCTACATGAAGTGCAGGGCTTTAAATATAAAAAAACATGACAGTAAATGGGAATAAAAGTAATTTAATTAGTACCTCTGATGGCAACAAACTCTGCAAAAAGGCTGCAGGTATTTGATTCAGTTTAATCCTAATATAACCTCCTACAGACAGAGGATGAAGGGACAGTGTACCTGTGGAATGATGGTAAGTTTGGATCTCAGGTCATGCAGGCCTATCTCTGCTATCTTCACATCATCAATGGTGATCTCTCCTGCAGCAGCTTCCAGCAGTCTGAAGAGGCAGAGAGTCATGGAGGACTTCCCGGCCCCTGTACGACCCACAATACCAATCTGTACGATGAAAATCACAACTAAGTACCTTTTACAATGACAAGGTTAAAATAAGAATCTATTTGAACATAGCCTTTCCCGACCTTCTCTCCTCCTTTTACGCTGAGCGTGAGGTTCTTCAGGACGAGGTCCAGACCCTCGCGGTACCGGACACAGTAGTTGTGGAACTCCACGTTCCCTTTCATGGGCCATTCAGATGGGGGCTTCTTGTCCTCCACCTCCCAGGGGGCCTGTGAGCACAAACAGCTTTTCAGACCCTGCATGGCTTTGACAGTGTGTATAGAATATTAAGAAATGGGAGAGTTAGATTCACTCAGACCTGACAAACATTTATTTCACCTAGGATTGGGCATCGAGTCTCGAGTATCGATTAGAACAAGGACCAATTTGTAGATTCTCCCGGAATCACTCAAATTTTTCAAACATCGATTCCCACTTTTGATACCCAGTCCACTAAAGAATCCGCAGGTAGTGTGTGCGCAAATGGACAGAGATCTATGTCATGGCTTAACTTTGACCTGTTAAGCCGCAGGGCCTAACCCAAATTAAATTAAGTACTGCTCTTGGACCCTTTTGAGTAAATTCACAAGCCCAGTCTTTATGTAAAGCTATCAATCTGAATTTTTTACTTCAGCAGTCATAATTTTTGTAACTGTAACTGGTATTTAGTTATTGAAGTTAAAATACACTATAACCATTAATTTCTTCTATTTCCAAAACTGCATATTGAATAAAAGGTAACTTGATTGGCTACACAGCTGTGGTTTCAGAGGGAAGCTCAGAGCTGATTGGCCGATTCTTGTTAATCTCGTGTTCCACGGACAGGTGGGACATGAAGGGCTTGCCATATATTTTCGGCTCTGGAGAGTCTATAGATGAACCCAGTTGATGACAATCGAAAGAAGACAACCAGCAGAATTGTTTGAACAGCCTATTATGCAAATTCAAAGTCCCTGGTAGGCTATAAAGAGGGAGGAAGTAACCGCAAACTGGGAATGCACTGTAGGCGGTACATTGATAGTTAAGAGTTTAATAAAAGAATAAGATTATGTTGTGTAAAGGAGGACATATGACCATCATGATTAAATACAGCTCAGGGTTCTGTCTTTGATGCATGGCATTGAGGCATTAAGTTATACTAGACCAGGGGTCTCCAACCTTTTTTTCTTTAAGAGCTACTTTTACAAATTTAAACTGTCCAAGAGCTACTTTTTGCAACATTTCATTTTAAACTTAAACAATTGGAATAAGCTTGTTTTGCACAAAAAACACTGTCTTCAATTCACATGAAACTATTACAAAAAAAGCTGAATTTACATGAATGTGGTTTTTGTGTTTATCCATGCATATTACAGTGTATTTCACACTAATAACTTAGGGTTTAATTGCAACAGATATGTGCACAAATAACATTGGGTGATGGGTCTCTGATTTATTTTCCGCATTGTAGACTCTAGCAGGAAGAAACCTCGTGCAGTGACATACACTCACCGGCCACTTTATTAGGTACACCACGCTAGTAACGGGTTGGACCCCCCTTCAGAACTGCCTCAATTCTTCGTGGCATAGATTCAACAAGGTGCTGGAAGCATTCCTCAGAGATTTTGGTCCATATTGACATGATGGCATCACACAGTTGCCGCAGATTTGTCGGCTGCACATCCATGATGCGAATCTCCCGTTCCACCACATCCCAAAGATGCTCTATTGGATTGAGATCTGGTGACTGTGGAGGCCATTTGAGTACAGTGAACTCATTGTCATGTTCAAGAAACCAGTCTGAGATGATTCCAGCTTTATGACATGGCGCATTATCCTGCTGAAAGTAGCCATCAGATGTTGGGTACATTGTGGTCATAAAGGGATGGACATGGTCAGCAACAATACTCAGGTAGGCTGTGGCGTTGCAACGATGCTCAATTGGTACCAAGGGGCCCAAAGAGTGCCAAGAAAAGATTCCCCACACCATGACACCACCACCACCAGCCTGAACCGTTGATACAAGGCAGGATGGATCCATGCTTTCATGTTGTTGACGCCAAATTCTGACCCTACCATCCGAATGTCGCAGCAGAAATCGAGACTCATCAGACCAGGCAACGTTTTTCCAATCTTCTCTTGTCCAATTTCGATGAGCTTGTGCAAATTGTAGCCTCAGTTTCCTGTTCTTCGCTGAAAGGAGTGGCACCCGGTGTGGTCTTCTGCTGCTGAAGCCCATCTGCCTCAAAGTTCGACGTACTGTGCGTTCAGAGATGCTCTTCTGCCTACCTCGGTTGTAACGGGTGGTTATTTGAGTCACTGTTGCCTTTCTATCAGCTCYAACCAGTCTGCCCATTCTCCTCTGACCTCTGGCATCAACAAGGCATTTCCGCCCACAGGACTGCCGCTCACTGGATGTTTTTTCTTTTTCGGACCATTCTCTGTAAASCCTAGAGATGGTTGTGCGTGAAAATCCCAGTAGATCAGCAGTTTCTGAAATCCTCAGACCAGCCCTTCTGGCACCAACAACCATGCCACGTTCAAAGGCACTCAAATCACCTTTCTTCCCCATACTGATGCAGGAGATTGTCTTGACCATGTCTACATGCCTAAATGCACTGAGTTGCCGCCATGTGATTGGCTGATTAGAAATTAAGTGTTAACAAGCAGTTGGACAGGTGTACCTAATAAAGTGGCCGGTGAGTGTATATACCACAGCATAAGGGGTTTCCCAGGAGTTTGGCAGTGTGCCTCAAGGGGCTATGAAAGGTGTGTGCAAAAGCGAACGCCAAACAACCACATAACCGCGTGTCATCTGCCAATCGACCATACTGAGCCCTAAACGGTTTGATTGACAACCATGGGGAAGGGACATCTATAGATTGATTAGAAATAAACAAAAGTTTGTTTGGCCAATGACAAATTAAATTTTACTTGGTTTTTAAAAATAAACCTCTCTTGTAAAAAGTATTTTTGATCTTATTTTCAGCCTGATATACTAAACAAGAGCAGACTATGTCAAATTAACGTTGTTAGCCTGAAAAAGTTCCTATTTCAAGAAGTGTTACTAAGTGCAATTGTCTCATTCAAAACTGTCAGATTATTTCACTTAATTTGAGTCTGAATCTTCTAAAACTATGTGAAACAATCTGCCAGTGCAGTCAGACCATTCACACAGTACCCCTGTGGAAAGTATATAAGTAATATTCATGTTCACAGGTTTGAGGTTTATGTAGTGGTTGATAATAGCCCTGTAAGGAATTCTTAGTGAAGTTCATGAAAAGCAAAAAGTTCATAGAGTTAAAATTCTTGAGACATTAAGACTTTTTCATCCAGAGAGAACTCGGGTTACCTACCTCGTCTGAACCATGTAAACATTTTGGACCCTGTCTCTAAAAAGAATTAGAATCGGCGGGAATTGTTAGGAATCAAAATTGAAAGGAGGAACTGGAATCAGAACCAGTGTACAAAAAGCTTCCTGTTTAAACATCCTTGTTGGCACCAGGTTACAAAACCTTTCTGGATCTAGTTTGTGGTCATCAAAATGCTTAACCAACTATAATGTGGCTAAAGGAGGCAACAATATGTTAAAATCAAACACCTGAACTTAGTCTGAACTCACAGCATTGATTTAAAGTACCTCTGTCTTGGTCTCCGAGTACTCCTTCACTCTCTCCACTGCTACTATGTTGTTCTCCAGGTCTGAAGTCATCCGCACCATCCAGTTCAGAGACATGGTCACCTGTTAAAGCAGTACTGGTGTCATGATGTAAAACTGCACCTGAATATATTGGTGAAGCAGCTCTCGTGTGTGTTTTTGTCACCTGGAGGGCGTATGACACTGAAAGACCCACGAGGCCAGGGTTCAGATCTTTCCTTCCTATTACGGCTAGCAGAGCAGCGAACAACACAATGCAGTTCCCGATGAACTCTATACGCACTCCCAGCCACCTGGACGACAGCAGGTTTCCAGTTAAAACATGTTTCACTGTATGGAAACGTGAGGAACTCAATTTTTGCTATTAATATTCTGAAGAGTGTAAAGAAGGTGGCTTATTTTGCTACAGGGTTTGCTAAATAAAATACTTGTATCTTCATCAGATCTACAAGAGTGTTGTGGCAGATAATCCTCTGATCCTGAAGGATTATTGGATGATAGATGACAACATGCTGCTCAAATGATTGAGTGTCTTCATCTAACAGTAAATATCATTAATGTCTGAGAAAACTGCAAAATGGAGGTCAAAACAGTCATTCTTTTCTTTCAGCAGCTGCCTTTAGGGGTTGCTTCATCTGCGTCAATTTCACCATATTGTTATTCTATTTTGGCATAAATTTTAGATTTGTTCAAGTCTTCTGAAAGCCATAAAGCTGGTCAGTTATGAGTAGTGATGGCATTTTGTTAGACTGGGGGTTAACAGAGCTGCACGATATATCATTTGAGCATCGCCATCGCAACAAACGTGTGTGCAACAGTCACATTGCAGGTCCTGCGGTGTAGGAGGCAAATTAAATCAATGCTATCTAGGGAGTGAACCACTAAACCCTGCATTAAGTCATAACCACTAAACCCTGCATTAAGTCATTGCACTAAACTAAACGATCACCTATTATAACTTCTATTTTTACAGGTTGCTTCCTGTCGTGTCAAAAAAGCTAATACTTCAATTTTGTTGTGGAACTTCTGGGACAATAATGGCAACGTTTTTTCTGACAAGTGTTGTCAATGAATTCTAGAGCTGTAGAGGAAGACTTGTAACACACAAAAACAAGATCGGTGCAGGTTCATCTTCAACAAGATGGCAGCACAAATTAAAGCGTTATTCACGTCATCTATTTCTATCAACATGTTTTTTCTTTGTTCCAGAAGAAGGTGCACCTGGACCAGTTCTTCTGTGTTTGTCTGTGTCTCTTTCCTGTCCCTCAACCAGCCGGTCGAGGCAGATGGCTCCCTGTCCTGAGCCTGGTTCTGCTGGAGGTTTCTTCCTGATTAGCAGGGAGTTTTTCCTCTCCACTGTTTGCTCAGGATGGGAGACTGTGATGAAGTTATTCAATGCAGCCTGCTGGCTTCTTCTTTAGATTGTTCTTTTTTATGTACAGTGCCCTGAGACAACGTATGTTGTGACTTGGCGCTATATAAATAAACTGAATTAAAATGAAACTGAATTAAATCTGTTGAAAATTACTTTACTTTTTCATTTGGTAGTATATACTGTATTGCAGGGTCAGAAAAAAGTTGCAATGTTGTTTTTCCAAAAGTCGTGTAGTTAACATGGATTTAGCAACACTTAGGTGTTGAACATTAAACATCCTACATATGTCCTTCTGTGACACCTGGGACTTTGTACAGAGTGAAAAAAGAAGTCCTTATTTAACAAAAGAGAAACCAAGAGCTGCTGTTCAGCTGAGCTGAGGGAGGACTCTTACCTGTTGGACACTATACCAGGGTAGTAACTCTTTTGGTTCTCATCCACTTTTACATCACTCATCAGAACAAAGGCAGCGTGTCTGCCATAGGCTCGGATTACACTAGAACCAGTGACGGTCTCGGAGAAATGAGAGTAAATGGGAGAGCGGCTGACTGACTCCAGGCGCTTAAGCTGCCGAGACGTGGCAACATAAAATCTCTACAGGCATTAAGAGGAAGGAAAAAACAAAACACAACATTACAACCTGATGAGACTTAGCACATGTTCAGAAATATCAAATATGTTGCACATAGATGAGCCTGCATGCATACACACTCACACACGCAAAGTAATAAAGGATGGCTTTGTGAACAAAACACCTGCAGGGTCATTGGATACTCTCAATTTTCACATTGTTGAACGGGAGCCAGCTAATGTTCCCCAGTTTACACAAACTCTCCAACTTTAAATCCAGGAATGTTGTGATTTGGTCTGAGTGTAAACAGATTGTAAAGTTGAAATTTTATCTATGAGGTTCAAAAGGCTGACAAGATTTTTAACTGCTGGTGTTTTGTTTTTAATTAAACATACAGTGTGCTGTCATTAAAAGCAAATTTATTGCTTGATAAAGACAATAGCCTATATGCCACGGACATCTGGTCCAGCATTTGATGCCACTCCCAACACTTCCGGTTCACGGTCAACACAGTGTTAGCGAAAGATTTTTTCACCCAACGACTCTTGATGATCTCCACTGTATAGAATTAGCATATTACATGTACCAACATTAACACAGAAGACGTACAGGTCCAGCCAAATGGAAAAAAATCACTACAAAGTGGATTAAAGCCATAAAAACAAAGGAAAGACGTTTGTGTTTATGGTTCCAGAATTTAGCCTTTTTCGCTATTCCGTGGCTGCTTTGGTTTGGATTGTTTTCCCCAACGTTAGTGAACTGAAAACGTAATGATTATCAGGCGGAGTTTCTTCTGCTCTCGGTGCTCGGGGGGAGGGGCGCACTCGTCACTTGGCTTTAGTCTAGGCTGTAATATACACTCCTTTACCGGCTGCTGTGTTAGCTTCCTGCTAGCTGTCCTCTGGAAGAGGTCTTTCCTCTCCAGATCTTGGCAATAAAAGGGGATAAATGTACATTTCCCTTTTGTAACCTCCGTCATCTCATTTCTGATGCTGGCTCTTGAATATCCTCAGATTAGAAATGCCGATTACAAACGCAAGCATGAGCTTTTAAAGATAAGTTTTCCCTGTAATGCTATGATCCACTGCTGTCATCTCCTCATCAAGAGGAAAATGGATAAAAACCAACTACTCGATCTTACCTGCTGCTTAGTGGACACAACGGCACACAACAGAACTCACGTTTTATACCAGTACATCACAGATGCTTTAACTTTGTGACGTTCTCACGGACTAGTACTAGTAGCTAACGCTAAAAACATAGGCAGTAAGCAGGGAATGGAAGGGAGGAGTGTGTCAAGAATTTTACCGGAAATACGTCATTAATGACCGTGGCATATAGGCTATTGATCAAAAGTGGTAGAAGGTTAAGTATCAAGAGTTTGTTCTCACATTAATCATTTCAGTTTGCATCAGCCAAACCAAATCAGTTAAGTGAAACTGAAAACACAGCATGCAGCAAAAAGATAAAAAAAGGCAGGATGGATGCTGTAACAAGGTAGCAAAAATAAAATAGCTTTGTGTTAGTACATCCAATTTTATTCATTTGGAAGTTCAGTTGGAATCAAAATGATAGAAAACAAGCGAGTTCTTCAACAAATAACTGCAGTTTGGATGTAAAAGTCTGATGTTAACATATTAACATTTTACTAAGAGAATGTTGTTACCACTGTCCATCCATTGATCCATCCATACATTCATCCATCCATCCATTGATCCATCCATCCATCCATCGATCCATCCATCTATCCATTGATCAATCCATCCATCCATCCATTGATCCATCCATCCATCGATCCATCCATCTGTCCATTGATCCATCCATCCATCCATCCATCTATCCATTGATCCATCCATCTATCCATTCATCCATTCATCCATCCATCCATCCATCCATTGATCCATCCATCCACCCATCATTCTATCCATCCATCCACACATCCATCCATTCATCCGTTCATCCATCCCCCCATCCGCCCACTATTCTATCCATCCATCCATCCACCCACCATTCTATCCATATATCCACCCACCATTCTATCCATCCATCTATCCATCCACCCACCATTCCATCCATCCGTTCATCCATCCACCCACCATTCTATCCATCCATCTATCCATCCACCCACCATTCCATCCATCCGTTCATCCATCCACCCACCATTCTATCCATCCATCCATTCATCCATCCATCCACCCACCATTCTATCCATGCATCCATCTATCCATCCACACATCTATCCACTGATCCATCCATCCATCCATCCATCCATCCATTGATCCACCCATCTATCCATTGATCCATTCATCCATCCATCCATCCATCCACCCACCATTCTATCCATCCATCATCCATCCATCCATCCATCCACATATCCATCCATCCAATCCATCCATCCATCCAATCCATCCATCCATGATAAAGTTGTAAAGCAGCAGGTCAGAAGGGAAATCAAGACCTCCCTCTCCCCAGCAATACTCTCCAAGTCATCCTGGGAGAACCCAGGCAAAAGAGGATATGCAGATTGATCCCTCTGACAGGTTACTGGGTTCTCTTGAAAGTCTCCTTTCAGAAGAAGAAGTTTCCAAACGAAGTCAACCAAGAAGCATTCTAATCAGATTCCCAAACCACTTCAGTTGACAATGCTGTCACTTTATCTCTGAGGCTGAGGCCAGCCACCCTACAAAGGACACTTATTACAGAAATTTATATGCAAGATGTCATTTGAACTTTAATGACCATGTATGACAGTTAGAAAGCAGGTGGAATTTAGAGCTTTGTCTGTTGGCTCAAGTTCCTCTTTCATTTAGGTCTTCCCTCAGTAGGACATGGCTGGAAAACCTCCAAAGGTAGGCTTTAAGGGGGCATCCTGATAAGATGACCAAACCACTGCAGATGACCTCCTTTAATGGGAAGCAGAAGCGCTCCATTTTGAGCTCCCTCTGAACGCTCGAGCTTCTACCAGTAAATAAAGAACTTTACCTTTTAGCATTGCCGTTTCTTTACTACAATAGAGTGAAGGGTTTCACCATTTTCTGGTTGGGAAACACAGCCTAAAATTGGGGGAAACTACTCACACCTTGGCTATACATTCAGCAGTAAACTGCTCCAGTCTGTGCTGAAATTCAGGTTCTGAAAAAGGCCAACAGAACCACATCAACTGCAAAAAGACAATCCTGTTAACTCCCAAACCACAAATCTTTTTCTTCAAGCTTACAATGTAACATTGAAGAAGCTTATCAGTCAGAACAGCCCCACAATGTACAGAGTCCTCAACATCTCACAGTGAATTTCATCCACCACTGTTCAACTTTATCCTCATGATTCTCTACCCAATCTAAGCACAGCCTGGGGTGGGCCTTGCCTTTTTTCTCAGTCATTTAATGGTTTATTCAAGCCTTCTGAAGACCAACAGAAAGTTACTCTCTACTGTCACTGAGATGCATCAGGACATATTATCTAATGTCTTCACAAAGTCCTCCCATGCTGAAGTTTTTACAAACACAAAAGATGATGCCCCTCTGGTTAATTTTGTACCTGCCAGCTGTGTCAGTAAACTGAAAAAAGTCAACCTCTAAAGGTCTCCCTTTTCAATGTGATGGCTTCCTTCTCTGCCAATGTCCACCAGGTGTCCTTACGATTACTACCACAGCAGACACGAACCACCACAGAAACCTCCCTCAGAAGGTATGAAAAACTCTCTTGGAGAACAAAGAATGTTTCAAAAGCTAAAGCCTCTTCCTGATGTTTCCAATTCACACAAACTGCTTGTTTGGATTTATTACATCTGCCCAGCACCCAGTACCGGATCCAAATCATCACTAAGTTTTAAAAGCTTGACAGCTCTGCCCCATTCTTTACTCTAGTGTCCACAGCATGGACCTGTAGGGCTGATAATACAACTACAAAATCATCATTCTCTGGCCCAAGGTGGACTAGTACTAAGTATGATGTTTGTGCAGATGATGTTTGATACAAACATCCCAAGCCTTGCACAGAAATCCAACAACAGAACACCTTTTGGGTTATGATCAGGGAAGCCATTCCTCCTAGTCACATTAAGGGTAGTGATGACCCACATGAATGGCACACCAACCAGAAGACTGCAGGAAGGAAGTCCAAACAAAAACAACAGAACATTCTGCCCTGCAGGTGAAAACTACAAGAAGGCTACCCTCCATCTCAACTCGAAGGATCTAAACTGGAGGCCTATGAGTAAGTGGATACAGAGTGGAGGCTGTTCTGGAGAAGAGAAGGTCCAGCTGATTACAGAACCAAGGCTGTGACTAAAGTTCACTACTGTAATATTAACAAATGTATTTTTATAACTATCACAGACACTAACTTGTGAGAGTGAGTAGTGTCTGTAGAAAAAACATTCTCATTCACCTCTAACAATTCACTCCACCTATGTGGAATTTAAGATCTGTGTGAAAATATTTGCTTAGAAAAGACAGCTGATGAACCAAATTTGCTGCCCAGGAAAAGACCAAAGACCTGTTTTAGAAAAAGCTGACACAAGAACTGTAAACTAGATCTCCCACTCGCTACTTTAACACCACAACTATCACTCTACCAGACTAGTTAAAAATAATCAAATCACACTCTATTGGCACAGTTTGATTACTGCTTTAAATACATGCAACAGTCTACTAGCACACTCACTCACAGCCATGCATGTTGCATAAATGAGTTAGCACGCTTGTTTCCTATTTACCTGAACCCACCAATAGAACACCATTAACGGGGCTATGACTATGAGGAATATTGGGGTGATGGCAGAGCATATGAGCAGCACATTCAGTGTGTACCAGAAAGTGCGCATCCATATGTCAATATTGTCTGGGATGTAGGTGTCTATAGCATCCACGTCTTTGCTGAAGCGGTTCAGTAACCGCCCAGTCGGGGTGCTCTCAAAGAAGGTCTGCGGAGCTTGCAGGACCCCCTGCAGCATGTTGTTGTGTGTGAGCTTGGCTGCCCGCAGCATACTGTAGGCCCGGCACAACAGACAGTTAACCAAAATCAGCACACCTGCGAGAAGTGGGGGAGGGGGGAGGGTCAAGTGTGACAACACAACAACATGTGTGTTAAACAGATAAAGACCTGTTCCTACAATCTAATGAAACAACAGCTTTTTATGAGCTGATGGTGTTTTTTTTTCTTTACACTTGATTGAACTGGAAAGTCTTTTTTTTTCTTTTTTGTGTAACCTGCTAAAATAGTTACCACTGTTGTTTACACTTTAAGCTTTAATATGTCACCACTGTCTTCTGTCTAGCACTTACTTTGCCAAAATACAGGCCTCATGAAGCAACACCATTGTCTGTAAAGTATCCCATCACACTTTACTTTTACTACTCAGTGAAAATCAGTTTTGCTGACTGTGGGGCTGATTTATCAAAGGTGTGCATGTGTAAAAGAATGCGCAAACATGATAGCGCACAAAGCTGATCTATCAACCATATGCATCAAGGATTGTGTCTGTTAAATAAGCAAAACAGCAGACTTAGCAGCTTTAAAAAGTAAACATAAATTAAGAATGTTTGTGAAACATTGTGTGCTGTCATCCTCTTTTTTACAGCCACGTATGGTCTTTGATTTCCCAGAAAGTTTTCAGATTATCTAGACAAGCAGCGAGGCATTTCATCACCTCCTAGGGAACTTTTATCGGACGTTGTTGTGCAGCGGGTGATCTAAACGTGCTGGAATGCAGGGACGCATGTTTTGGTTGATAAATTATTAAAACTGCTTTTAATTTTATGTTAAAGTATCATAATGAATTTCAGTATAACTGCAAAAAAAGGTAATGCAAATAAAAAATAAACTAACAAAACACCTTTTTTTGGGGGAGGGGTCAAGGTTAAAAAGAGGTATGCATGCAGCTTTGGATCTGTGGGCTGTCGATCCTTGTCTTATGGAAAAACTCCTTGCAACACTGCATTTTCTTGCATCTGGATCATTTGTCTGCTTCACCATGGAGACTGACTTTCTCCATGGTGGAGCAGACAAATGATCCAGATGCAAGAAAATGCAGGCAAGGAGTTTTTCCATAAGACAAGGATCGGCAGTCTCCAGATAGTAAATAACCTGCACCATGCCCACTAATCGCGCATGCGATTTTTTTTGTTTGCATTTTTTGTTGGGCATTATTTGGGATCTTAATAAATCAGCCCCTATTTGTTTAATCCAAATTGCCCATAATTTATGAATATAATTTTGCCTGAAATAACCATCCCTATGATATAAATCCATTTTTTGCATTCCAACGCTTTAAGTAGAATAGAGTGGCAATGGAACTGTAGTTTGGCAACAGATGTGTGATACAATATTTTTTAAATGTTTAAAACCAGTTTTGGTCAAAGACAGACCAGAACATGTTTGTGAATTATCATTCTGTTGTGTAACATTTCAATAAATGCTTCAATGAATTTCAGAGAACTGTGATTCATGAAAGACCAGGAAGTACAAGGCATATTTACACCTAGATATCTGTATCTCTAAAAGCACTGCATCAAGAACTATCATTCATACGCAGCTGATAGAACAAACAGAATTACATTAGTTAGCTCAAATCAAGTGTCACATTTACAAATGCCACTTCAGACTTTGGTACTTTGCTGTGCTGAAAAGAATCTGTCTGTTAACCTTGTCCAGAGGCAACATAGAGTTCTCTGCACTCAGTGGACCATCACATGGTGGAAGCCTAAACTGCAATCAGACAAAACAATATTCCTGTTTTTGGGAAGAAAATGCCTATAAGCCCAACTTTGGGATGGTAGCAGTTTGGCAGAACTCAGAAAATATACAGCGGGTAAAATAAGTATTGAACACGTCACCATTTTTCTCAGTAAATATATTACTAGAGGTGATAATGACAAGAAATTTTCACCAGTTGTCAGTAACAACCCAAGTGATCCAAACATAAAAAGAAATCAAACCATAAATGTCCAGAAATGAAGTTATTTGTAATAATGTGGAATGGCACAGGGAAAAAGTATTGAACACATGAAGAAAGGGAGGTGTAAAAAGGCATGGAAAGCCAAGACACCAGCTGAACTCTCTCAGTAATTAAAAAACAAGCCTGCCCCTTGTCAGTGCAAGTTAATATCAGCTGGTTCAGTCCCAAATGATGGCCAGGTATCACACAAGAACCATCTGATGATGGGTAAAAGTAAAGAGCTCTCTCAAGACCTTCACAACCTTWTTGTTGCAAAGCATAATGATGGCATCGGTTACAGAAGAATGTCTAAACTTCTGAAGGTTCCAGTGAGCACTGTTGGGCCCATAATTCAGAAGTGGAAAGAACATTATTTCACCATAAACCGACCACGACCAGGTGCTCCTCACAAGATTTCTGACAGAGGAGTAAAAAAGAATTATCAGAAGAGTTGTCCAAGAGCCAACGACCACTTGTGGAGAGCTTCAGAAAGACCTGGAATTATCAGGTACGATTGTTTCAAAGAAAACAATAAMTAATGCACTGAACCACCATGGCCTGTATGCACGCTCACCACGCAAGACTCCACTGCTGAAGAAACAGCATGTTGAAGCTCCTTTAAAGTTTGCTGCACAACATTTAAACAAGCCTGTGTAATACTGGGAGAATATAGTCTGGTCAGATGAGACCAACATTGACCTGTTTGGATGCCAGAATACACATCATGTTTGGAGGTCAAATGGCACTGCACATCAGCCCAAAAACACCATACCAACAGTGAAGTTTGGAGGTGGGAACATCATGGTGTGGGGCTGTTTTTCAGCATATGGTACTGGCAAACTTCAAATAATTGAAGGAAGAATGAATGGAAAAATGTACAGAGACATTCTTGATAAAAATCTGCTTCCATCTACCAGGATGATGAAGATGAAACGTGGCTGGACATTTCAGCAAGACAATGAGCCCAAACACAAAGCCAAGGAAACTCTCAGTTGGTTTCAGAGAAAGAAAATAAAGCTGCTGGAATGGCCCAGCCAATCACCTGACCTGAATCCAACAGAAAATCTATGGAAAGAACTAAAGATCAGAGTTCATAGAAGAGGTCCACGAAACCTTCAAGATTTGAAGACTGTTTGTGTGGAAGAATGGGCCAAAATCACACCTGAGCAATGCATGCCACTAGTTTCTCCATACAGGAGGCGTCTTGAAGCTGTCATTGACAACAAAGGCTTTTGTACAAAGTATTAGATAAATTTCAGTAAGTGTGTTCAATACTTTTTCCCTGTGCCATTCCACATTATTACAAATAACTTCATTTCTGGACATTTATGGTTTGATTTCTTTGTATGTATGGATCACTTGGGTTGTTACCGACATCTGGTGAAAATTTCATGTCATTAGCACCTCTAGTAATATATTTACTGAGAAAAATGTTGACGTGTTCAATACTTATTTTACCCACTGTATAAACTCTGTACACATTACTAAGGCATGGCTGAGGACAAAGAGGGTACTGGATTGGCCCACCTGCAGTCCTGACCTGTCTAAAAGACAATGTTGAAAGAATTTTGAAAACAACTGTGTATATTGAAATATTTATACATACAGTATATCTCAATCATTAGTACCTTATGAGCAGTGACATCAGTCACAGAACATGGAGAGCAAGAAAATGTTGAAAAGATCTAGTATCTTACCTGTTGTAGAGAGCTCTTTGAAGAAACAGTCTATGTCTGATGAGCTAATGCCTATTCTGTGRGGTGCCAAGACCAAAGTGGATCAATGGCGTCTTAAAACAACTTCAATCTTCAAAGTTGGTCATGCAAATACACCATTTTAGATCTTTATTTTCATAGTAAATGTTTACTTACAATAGAGAAACTGTGATTATTTGCAAGAACAAATAGTTGCAGGCTGTTTGCACCATATTGAGGAGATAACAGTCCGGCCCAATTGCAGCTAGGTGCATTGGAAGTGCTACAGTTAGCTGATATAGTTCATCATCAGTTAAATGAAATTGATTTTATCCAAACTGAGACCGTTTAAAAAGCTATCAGCAACAGGTAAGGTATTATTTGTTACCACACATCAAAATAGCTGCACGATCCATTTAAGCTGCTAAAATAATAAATGGGAAAAAAAATAAAATAGGATAAATCAAAGTTAATGTAGGAATCCTTGTGTGTGTGTGTGTGTGTGTGTGTGTGTGTGTGTGTGTGTGTGTGTGTGTGTGTCTTTGTTTGTGTTAGAAATCATTAAACACTGACTCAAATGTGAGAATCAATCACAAAGATTGATTCAGGTTCACATTTCAGCTGCACTTGAGGGGGAAAAAACAAAATATTGCTTTTAGTTAGCATTAGGTCAGATTTATGCTGCGGAGCCTGATGAAAGCTGCAAATAAATCAAGTTTTAAGTACTGATGCAGTTTCAAAACCCCAACTGGAGTTCAGAGCATTTTCTGAAACAATCAAACAGACATTATACCTGCTTGTTTTATTATGTAGCCGGGAAGTTCAAATTCCAACCCCTAAAAAATGTTTTTAGAGATTTAAAAGGAAATTAGATGAACTCTCAGATGCTTCCTTTCTCAAAACAAATCATCTGCTCTTATCCCACCTGAGAACTAAAATGCTCAGAGTCCAGGAAAATAAATTATTTCACATACAGAACAACAGCAGTGACATAACCAGAACTACCAATGTAGCTTATGTAATTACAACATGTCCAGACCGGCTGAAATTAAAATTCAGTAAAAAAATAAATAAAAATAAAACTCAATAAATTAGTCAGGCTGAGCTGTATTAGCACTGGTGCACCACTAGAGGGAAGTTATATGTCACTCAAAATGATTACTTTCAAATTGTTTGGCACCCTTGAGTGTATTTTCTACATATCACGGCTGTGTTGCGCAACATGACATGCTTGTCCTAAGGAATGTGTGTGAGAGGGTGTGGAAATACGCTGCAGGCAGGACAAGGAGTATTTTGGCTGTGGAGAGAGCAAAGTAAAATCAGGAGTGAAAAGAAGTCAAATTGTAGCAGCAGGCGTTCATCACCAAAATCACAGGCTGAGGGAGACAAAAGCAAAAGTGGAAGATTACCAAGTTTGCTGCACCAAACGCATGCTGCATGCCACTCCAGGAAGAGCAAGAGTCAAACATTTGCAAAGTAAAGAACATCAAGAGGACTGTTTGGCACAGAGAAGAGTAATGACCGCTCACATGTACCTGGACAAAGACGTATATGACAGCCAGGGGCACAATGACAACAGCGAACAAGGGTGTGCTGCTAACGATAACTATCATGGTGGAGAGAGAAACGAAGAAGGTGCCCAGGAACATGAGCACAGTGGACGGCAGCGCCTCGTCTATGACGTAGATGTCCTTGGAGAAGCGGTTGATGATGCGTCCTATAGGTGTGGTGTCAAAGAAAGACTGGGGCGTGTGAAGCTTGTTGGCAAGCAGGTTAAAGTGCAGCTTCCTGGCTGCGCCAATATTCCCCATGGCTAGAGTGAAGGAAGAGATCATGACCAGGATACCTGCGAATGGGTTAAACCACAGGAAAAAAGAGAAATAAAGAGATTGGAAAAGGAAAGTCGTTTTTTTAACCATGTAGACAAGGATAGTATGGGGAGATGAAAGTAAGTTTTATAACAAAAGAATATCGTTAAGAAGGGAAACCACAGATTCCTTCATGCAGTAAACTGATAAATAAACCATCAAAAATAAAACATTATTTTTAGATAGAGTGCCGTACTTTTTATTTGTAGATTCAACAATGTCCAGTTCACAAAACAACCTAACTTTTAGACTAGCTGAAAAGTAAACAGACCATTTTGTAGTTATGAATGCGTACAGTGGACCCTAACTCTTCTGGGTCGAAGGTCATTCAGGATAAACAATGAGCTTTCACTTTTGTAATTCAACAAATAAATATACAGTATGCCGTTGTACAGACCCCATGTCTGTTCTTTAAACTGATTTGTGTTCAACTGTCTTTTAAAGGTTGAAGGTGATTTTTCTCATAAATATCTTTACGTAATAAATCWYCTTTTTGAGCTTGTTTTGGTAGTGTTTTCGTTTCCACGGTTGAGTGTGGATGCATAGTTAAAATATGAGCAGATGTCCCAGCCAACCACTGGATCTGGTATTAAGGTAGGTAGAGTGATAAATGATCAAATATTTTGAATATATTGTGTTTTTTTTATACAATTCTTGCTCAGTCTAGCTAAGTGCAGATAACAATAAATTTCAAAATAAATGGATACACTAAACAGCATGAAAGCAGCAGTTATATTTTAGAGGCTATTTGTATAAAATTGTTTACATCAGTATCATGAGGAAAAATGAATTTATCAGTTACAAAATAAAAAAATGTACACAATTCCACTGATAGCAGTGTGGGGACACCAGCTCCTCCTTCCTCATRTTGCTGCAGTTCAGAACCTTCGTCCTTTAAAGCCCTGACACTTCAAAATATTACCAGTGTTTTCTCAGCCTTGTTGCCAGAAACATTAATAACTTTACAAATAAATAAACAAAAGTCAGTCACTTCCATCAAATCTACTAGCAACACATGTTTATTTACGCTAAATAACCTCTGACCCCTACCCATGATGCAGTGCGAACAGCAAACTACGAAATGGTCTTATTTTACCGTCACTAAGAAGCTGTTTGGGTGCAAGTGGCTGGTTGCACAATAAGGATAAAGAAACTTCAGCACCATGATGAAAAGTAGCTTAACATGWAGTTTAAACCCCACATAAATCCAAATGTTGGGCAACCAAAGTTTATTATCTGTGCTTCTTACCTTGTGCAATGCCCAGCGCAGCGTACACCCCCACCCTCATGTTAACGTTCTGTGAAGTCTGATTTTGTGATGCGTCGTTGGTCCACTGGCTGAGCCAGATGTTTGCTCCGATGGAGGCAGCAGACTGGCAGCCGTACAGCAGGATGATAATCACTGAAAGCAGCGGCCCCACCGCCTTGGCGTACTCCAGGTACACCGTTGTTTTGACCTGTTATGGAATGAGAGTCCAGTCAACAGGGTTTGTTTACAATTTTATACACAAGGCAAAGTAACAAYTAGTTTCTTGACACCAACACTTTCACAAGTACTCATACTCGTATAAAATGCCCCAATACTGGGGACAGATACCAATGCCTGCATCGATACTGGGATACTGGTATTGATTACTCTATTGAATGTGCCAGTTTACATTGCAAGTGAAAAGTTTGTCAGTTCAGGTCAGGTCAATTTGTGGTGGAGTCAATGTGAACCATTTTGCAAATGTAAAAAACGCCTGGGAATTTTCCCAATATTTGATGTAAAACATATAAATATTAATTGTTTTTGATACATTTTTACATATGTTTTGAAAGTTTACACTACAGAGACTCATTATAGTTAAAAGAAAATGTTCCTTAAATATATTTGTGAATTTTAGAGTGAATAAATCAGTAATTTTTCTACTCAGATTTTTTTTGTGATATTTTGGTCCACTGTGATAATGAACTGTGTCAAAATGAAACAAACACTCTAAAATCATAAAYCTGAGGTTGTGCTAAAAATAATGATACCAAACATGGCAAGATAAATAGTTTTTTAAGTGTAAATATAAAGGTAAATTCAAAGTTAGTCAAAAACAGCCATTTAGAACCCAGACCTCAGAGGGTTAAACGTGTTTTGATGTTATGATGTAATGTTTAAGTTCTAACTCAGTAAGTGCTCGGTACTGATCCTCAATATCGGCAAGTGCCCAAACAGTAGGACACCTTTAGTAACAAATTTATGTCTATCCTATTTCAAGTAAATCCTCTTGAACAGGTTAATACAAATGCCAGAATAATTGATTTAGTATAAAAAGTGTTCAGCTGAACCWAAGGAGTGCCTAATTAGTAGGCCTCTGCAGACCTTACTGAGAAGGCCTACTAATTAAGCACTACTCAGGTTCAGCTGTGTTGAACCAGGGAAGCACCTAAAACATGCAGGACACCGACCCTTGAAGACTGACTTCAGACACCACTGAGCTAAAATTTGAATAAAAAAAATACAGGGGCTAAAGTATTACTGTCATTTGATGTTCAGCGGAGTYAGATAAAAACTGAAAATCAATATAAAATATTAGCAGCATAAAGGTGGAAAAATGCCGCATGTTTTTCACTTAGGAAACAGGTACAGAGAAAAGGAGGAAAACAGTCTGGATCAAATCAAATTTGTGGTCGACTAACCCGGCCTGTTTCTGCAGTCTCTGCCTGGATGAGCTTCTCTACTTCCTGTGGTATTTTCTTCTCCTGAGACTCACTGTGCCTCTTTTGGCTGCAGCCATGTCTCCTCACTGAGCGGCATCGTAAATTTTCGCCTTCTGATGAAATAATGCTGATCTGTCTAAAAATGGGAAAGCAGCCAATGKATTTATGTTAGTGTAGAAGTGGCTACAAAGGTTGTCTAATTGAGTCAAATGTTTTTGTTTTTTGTTGTTCTTTAAAGGTTTCTAGTACCTCATAAAYCTTTTCCTAGCTTCATTTATCACTGGTTCATTGTCCACCATGTCTGTGTGGTGATTGCTAAGGACGTCATCTGGGAAGAGCTCCTCCTCGTCTATTAAATCTTCTGTGAAGCCAATAAGAGAAACACAATGAGCTCAAGCATGAACCTCAGAAATGATACGAGCAGAGAAAAAAGAAGGAAGTGTAGCTTGACCGATGGCCTCATCCTCTTCACTGATTTCCTCCAGAGCGTAGTTCCTGAGAAACTCAGCGAAGGCTCCATTCTGCTTGAACAGTTGCGTATATGAGCCCATCTCTGACACCCTGCCATCCACCATCACCACGATGTTGTCCACCTGAGGCAGAAAGCTGATGCCGTGTGTCACTAGGATGCGTGTCTGGGGGCAAACGGAGGGCAGAAATTCATTCATATGAAAAGAAGAAGACACATTTGTTATTACAACCGCATATCAGAACATGTGGGGATGTATAAATTGTAAAATAAAATAAAAAAGTGCAATGGTTTGAAAATCTCAAACCCATATTTTATACAGAGGAACCATTGTAAACATTTGAAATGCTTAAAATAAGAAATGATTCAGTCTTTACGGAAGCAACACGACTTCAGTGTCTGGTCCATGTTTTTTTACAATTAGTATATTTTGAATGGGACAATGCATAATAATGAAGATACAATTTTGCTGTAAATACACCAGATTTAGCAAAATACTKWTTTCCATCCGTAGTGTATAAGCATGTAGGAATTGAGACCAGCTGCTGAAGTTTTTGAAAGACAATATTGTCTCAGTATTGTTTGATGTAGTATTATAAATGTTCAACGGCCATAGGCACCAATGCACCCCTATAATATCAGACTTTTGAAATGTGCACTGAGGGTCCCTTTCCTTTTTCAGTARAAACCGTGGTTTCTTGGTTTAAATWAAATTTGGGTCTACTGAAGATGGTGGAATTTCTGGATGGTGTACACATATAATTTCTTCTTTGTGTGATAGAGCTTTACCCAGCATTTGTGGATGTAACAGTGATGTGTGTTTCATAGACATTGGGCCTCATGCAAGAACCGTTCGTACGCAGATTTGTTCTTAAGTTGTGCGTACGAGTGATTTAGGAGAATTTGTGGCATTCACCAATGTTTTCGTATTCTAAGATTTTCTTCAGATATGAACAAAATTCACGAGTGGTCCAGACCTGTCGTATATTTTACGAGCAGTCTGCTGTTATCCAGGCAGATTTTCCTCCCTAAAAACTTTATATTTCGTTAGTTTGAAGACATTTTGAGTTGAAAATAAATCACACCCTATGATTATCTTGACAATAGGCT